AAGGACTACAGGCTGTAGGCTGAACAGGTACTGTACTGTATAAGGAAATCTTCTAAACAGGTTAAACCATCTCAGCCCCAGACAATGTTTTCACAAAGTCAAGGAAAACATTGTTTTTTCAGTTAAATTTTGTTTCTTTTTTTAGGGGATGTAAGTTGCAGAGAGGCAATCAGGAAACATGATTTTTATTCTAGTATACCTGACTTATCTTTAAAATTGCTCCCCCCCAAAAAAATAGCTTTTCTTTTGAAAAGTCTCCTCTTGACTTCTTGGCACTTTTTAATTCAGTTTGCTAGAAAAGAAATGTGCACAGTAGTCATATTCATATGTAGTCATATTGTAAGTACACTTGCCTCTTTATTTAGAATTCGACTTAATTTGTGACACGATCATCCTCACAGGTGCTTAAAAAAACTTTTTTTAGAGACATTTTTGCTGCAAAAACTCACATGATGATAAGACAACAAACCATTCAGTCCGTAGCTAATAGGCCAGCATGTATTTAATATATCAACAAGGATCTGTACCGTGCCTTCATGTCTTTTTGTGGGTGTGTGCTAATGTTTAACACACATATGCACTATATTTATTGCATGCCAATAATTAGAGGTTGTGGATAATTCAAATGAATATTTGATTATTATATAATGTTCAAACTGCTCCTCCCATGCACAAACAAGTAGTTGGCTTATACACACCTGCATATACAATGCCAATACACACACACACACACACACACACACACACACACACACACACACACACATACATATACCGTTGCCATGGTTACCCCTCAATGTGTGCTGTAGATGTCTGCGGTATCACATATCATCTACAATTCATAGTGTTGGAGGCAATTAGACTGAACTTGATCTCTCTCTCTCGCTATCTCTCTCACACACACACACACTTTGGTTGAATCATTTTAATGTAATGAGTCTCTCGCCCAACAGAACTCAGTGCAAACTCACCATCTGTTAGAAAATGAGGCCGACCTCTTAAAAAACCGACTTCATCGGGATACAAGGTTTTTATCTGGCAGCTGCTGTGAACTTATTTAAAAAATGTACAGATGTACACATACACTTTCTCTGTCTGAGGTTCATTTGAAGCTGAAGCCACTGTATAAGAATAGATCTGAGAGATTTTCATCTGGGGAATGTACATTGATTATAATGTGCGTGTGTGTGTGTGTGTGTGTGTGTGTGGGAAAGAGAGAGATGAATGTTGAAGAGACTGCAAATGGAAACTGAGGAATGTGAAAAAGGGAAGCTTCAAAATGGAAATGATGTTCATTCCGTGCAGATCGTGCAGTGTGAGGTGTACTGTATGGCTCCAGTATGTGGAAGTGCACGTGTGTTTGCATGAAAGAGGAAATTAATAATGATCCTTATTCTGCTAATCTAGCCATAAGTACAAAACTGTTATGACCAAATCCTTCTTGTTTGCTTGTGTTTTCGTCTCCACATCAAGTCCCATTTTTAAATCGCTGTCTCCCTCCCTCTATCCCCCTCCCCCTCTTCTGGCCTTTTAACATTTGAAAGCATGAACAGTTTCCTGTAGGCTGAATTTTGACCATGTGACCATTGGCAGATTAAAATGCACTGTTGAAGCCAGCTTTGTCACTCCTTAGTTACTCCAGTTAATCACATACATGCCCTCACACAGACACATACTAATCAACTAATCAATACACATTCACAGAACACCACTTAGGTGGTTTGGATCCGGCTGAACAGAGGTGTTTGTCTGTTCCTGCTGTGCTGCAGAAGCTGTTTATTGGGCCTGTTTATGTGTATGTGTGTGTGGGGGGGGGGGGACACTTTTTGAGCCAAAGCTCCATTGGGGGTCGTTGCTAATTACGCCATCCATGGAGTGAACCCCTGTGGGAAATAAGTCAACCCCAAAAGAGCTGCAAAGGATCATGGGACAGGACCTGCAATGCCTCAAAGAGTCTCCAGAAACCATGGCATTAATTCACAGCACCACCAATTAGCAGTGAGTTTTTCTGATGTTTGCCTTTGTGCAGACCAAGGCTGTGTCAAATTATATTTGCAAAGGCTTAATAAGGTTTGTTTGGGCTTGTTTAGGTGCCAGTTTGGAGCGGTCGACCAGGAAGTGCAGCACACTGGAAACCCAACTCTTAGATACATGCGAAAGGTATTTTCAGACATTTGAGTTTTCAGTGGCAGAACTTTTAATATTCAGCCTAATCTAAAGATTTTTTTGATCTTGTTCTTACTAATAAAAGCTGACAGTTGTCTGTGATATAATACAATATGACATTTTGGGAAATTCACTTATTAGACAAAGGAGTTATTGGTCAGAAGAGTGATGAAAATAACCATACAGAACTGGAGACCTTTTGCTTTAGATCCAGGTAAACAGCTGTGTGTCATGTTTGTTTAATTTGTACACAAGTAGAAATGTAAAAACGAACCTTTGTGGCAATTACAGTATATGCTGCAACCATTTCCTAAACCATCTGTAAGAGTATTATGTAAGGGTATCAGTCTTCTAATCAAACATTTGGTAAGCAAGCCCCGACAAATTCCTTTAGGGCTCTTTCAGTGGCATTGAACAATAAAAGTACTGTAGTTGTAGAAAACACTCTGTGCAGTATTACCGTCTATAGACCCTGTAGCAATATGTGAGGTGTCGATACAATTTACTTGATAAGGATTTCAGCATGTATGATATTAGTCTGACTCCAATGCACAAGAAACCACACATTTCAACCAATTTCCATCACCATCAGGTTATATTGATGGTCTTTATTCTGTTTTCCCTGAATTCTTAGGCTTTTAAAACAGCCGTTAGATCGTGGCACTTTACCTTCCAATTCACATAAATTAAAAAAGACTTTCTTAAGGACTGTTTTAAATCCCTATTTAAGATGTGCTGTAGAGAAAAAATGACTTTTTCACTGTACAATGAAAGATTCGATGTATTTTTAGGTGTTGTTTTCTAAATCATGTCCTGCAGGCTGAAAAGGGCAGGAATAGAAAGAAAGGCAGGACTGCAGAGTCCTTAACTTTACAGCCAACTTGTTGAAAATCTTAACCATTTTTCCCAGTTCATTCCCTGTTGGTCTACATTTTCCTTTTAATCTCCATCATCTATCTTTTGTTTTTCTGTTCCCATTTCAATCCTTTGCTCTGCTTTTCATTTGGCCTTTGCTCTCACTTCCTGTCTTGATCCCTTTTATTCAAAATCCCCTCTCTTCTCAGTGCCTGTCCCTCCATCCTTCCCTCTGCCACACTGGTGCTAGAGGGAGGACAGCTACTTTTGGAGATTGTGTTGAATAATACATTCCTGTTCGAGCAGAGCCAGAGAGGATGATGTGGATGGAGGAGAGGCTGTTGAGCTCGATATAGAGTTTTGATAGTGTGTGAACATGGAGCATTTGTTATGATGATGAATGAACAGGCAGGTTGGTAACAGAGTGGAAATATGGGATTTGATCAAATGTATTAGAATGCACATGATTTCCTGAATGTGCACACAGTCATGTCCATCAACCTGCAAACAGGAATGCATTATGTTATAGTCAGACCTCAGTTACTTTAATCTGACATATGAGGAAGCAGGGTGTGTGTATGTGTCTGTGTCCATTCCTGACAGATATCAGGGGTCAGTCCTGCCCTGTAATGACCTCATCAGGCAATGTTGAATTATGGGTAGTGGCACTCAGGGTTCACAACTGTCTCTTTGCTTAGGGCACAGTGATTATGAGTCATCTTTCACTCACACACAAACTCCCACACTCACAGTGCAGCTGGACTGCAGGGTAGCTGACATTTAGCAGCGGAGGGAGAAGCAGTCTGGAAAAAACAGCAGAGCTGCAGCCACAATCGTCACATACCTCAGCGTAATGCAGATCAGATAGATTTGTATTTACAGTGAACAAGCTGTGCACGTTAGGCTGTCCTCACTCGCCTTACTACAACAAAATGAGTTAGCTTTTATGACAATTTTCAAAATATAATACACCTAATCTTCGTCAAATGGCCATTTGCTAAACACTGCCCCCTACAGTTACTGTTGCTACTGTTTTGTTCTGTGTTGTCAGGTATACAAACTTACATTCATAGTGCCATGCTGTCTATCTGTCAGTCTTTTATTTTTTTGGCACAATTAATTCCTTGACTGAATTTCATGGATTAAAATCCTAATTTTAAGTCCCCCAATGATTCTTTTATTCTAACCAGCGCCTGAGAATGATACTGTAGCCTCCTGGTTACATGACAGATACGTCCCTGAGTTATTGTTGTGTTCATGATCGGTTATGGAGACAGGACCAGGCCACCTGGGCCCAGACAGCATGACTGAGGGTTCTGGTGGGACTAATGGGATTCAGACACCTGTAAATAGTTGTGTGTGTGTGTTCAGTAAAAAAGAGACTATCAGTGAATGGGGCGCAGAAACGGTTTTCTACCTCCTTATTCAACCCACCCGACGTTACAATATTTTATGACAACAATATACTGTAAGTTCTTTTGTGGACTAGCTATTAGCAATAAAGCACTAATAAAACTGCACAAACGTGTACATTTATAGTGGAACCACAAATTATTAAAAGTATAAAATGATGCGCCATTGTATAATGAGCATGAATTATAGTGATACTAATCCTCATGTCATGGCTGGAGCGGTGTAAATCACGGGTGTGAGCTGGATAATGATGTCCGCTCAGTTCTGTGTCCCATAGCCTGTGGAGGGCATTCAGGAAACAAACCGGATGGATAAATACACCGTGTCGCGGTCACATGTCGTGCAGTGGGTCCCTGAATGATTTAAACCTCTTTACATCATCAGCCTCGCCCTCCCTCCCGCTGTCTCCAGCTGATGCGTCCGCGCAGCCCAGAGATGCTGCTGCTGATGCTGGGGACCGACTGCAGCATCCGACATGGGCATCTTTTAACCCGGGCGTGCCACAGTAAGTGGTTTTCTCACTTTTCTCTTCCTCTCATCCTATCGTTATCTCTTACTACATCACCCATCCACTCCTCCCACTCCTCCTCACTCTTCCACCTCCATTTTTTGTTGGTTTGTCTTCCTTTGTGCGTTTTTTTCACGACCTATGCCATACAATACGGCGGAAACCGTGATGCTTGGTGACTCCGCGGAGCGGACGTAAATGGTCCCGTCCTTCTTGTACACCTCACCTTATCCGTGTGCACGAGAAAGGGAGGGGGGCAGGGAGTTTAGGGCGGGTGTCGCTTCTGTCACGGGACTGGAGCTGCAGTACGTTTGGAGGCTCGAGAAGAGACGGAGGGGCGACTGGGTCCCGACTCAAAGAGGGTGGGACGGTTACTAAAGTGTTTCCGCAGGTGAGAACATTTGGCTATTGCGTATGTGTTTGGGCGTGTCAGAAAGAAACTGGAGACAAACAAAGAGGCCATGGTAATTGTCTTTATGCTGAGCAAAGAAGAGGATGCTGTAGTAGTAGAGAGGAACAGTGTAGAGTTCCTTTGTTGTTGTCAGTCGTCATGCTACTGTACAGGGTATAGTAAAGGTAAGGACAAGCTTTTTTGTATGGCCTGAATTTGTATCTGATGTGGATAAAGAATATGATTTATCACAACCTGTCAGCTTCTTTGTTAGGGCACATATTCACCTCTCTCTCTCTTTCTGCCCTACATGATAACATACTGTGCTGTTGTATCTGTGTGACTATATGTGAGGACAACTCAGACTCTGAAGGCCAGAGGCTGCGGAACTGGGCTAATCCCAAATGACATAGCCAGATCTCTCTCTCTCTCTGTGTGTGTGTGTGTGTGTGTGTCTGTCTCTCTCTGCCATAAGGGCTCGTCTGTATTTTTATCTCCTTAGTTCCTGCTCCTCATGCTCAGGTGTGATGATGTGCTGTCCGTGGTGCTGAAAACAGTCATCATCTTACTAATATACTGAAGCTTGGTGGCTTTGTCAGCGCTCAACAGGTGCCTGTAATTATTAGCTACCATAATGCGCGGCTGCACAGAAATAAAGAAAGTTGATTTCCATTTTAATCTTCTTACTTTTAAATGGAGATTGTGTTTGCATGCTAGAATGGCGGGCTTTTGTTAGAAATGGCATGTTAGAAATTAAACTGTCAAGATAGATTACTGAATTAAAACGAGATATTTTTTAAAACACAGAAGGCAGTTCAGGTCCTTGGCTTTTCATGCTGGGTCGACTGTATTTTAAATGTCATTTTAAAATTCAGATAAACTTTGGGGAGAATTCAGTATATGACTCACTGGGAAACTATAATAACATGCGGTGTTGGGTACCGGTGAACGATGTGTGCTGTAATTAAACTAGTAGTTTAACTACATTTTGCAGTAACTTGCTGGTAGTTACTTTTCAGAAAGTGGTTAATAGAACAAAATACAGTATAATCAGCTGCAACATTAAATGTGACGTACACAATAATACTGTACGTCAGTAGTTATGATCTAATAACATAATGGTCATCAGTGCAAACTGCTGTTTTGCATAATGAGTACTTTTGGTATTTTAAGTATATTTTCTGTCAATACTTTTGTAATTTTCCTTAGTAACATTTTGAATGCAACACCTTTAGTTGTAACAGAATATTTTTACGCCATGGTATTACTACTTTTACTTAAGTAAACAACCTGAATACTTCTTCCACCAGAAGATTACATAACTAACCAATTTAGTAACTGGTGTGTATTCCTGCATACTGATGCTTCGTGTGTGTGTGTGTGTGTGTGTGTGTGTGTGTGTGCATTGGGAAGAATCAGGCATGAAAGATTTCTTTATGGCAGATAAATGCTTTACATTTATTGATGTCAGTAATTAACTCTTACTGTATAACGTAGGTGTGTGTCATGTAGCGGACACACATCCACACATACATACATTATTAAGCCTTTTTATTTATGAATGCCTGGCTGGCCCCCACCACCTTTTCTCCATCAGATGCTGCTCAGGACTGACATCAGTGAACCTGTCTGCGCATAAAGGCTAATATAATCAGAACCTCATACACAGACACACAAGCACACATTACATCCTTTCTCTTGTCTCTGCCAGCAGCACAGACATGCATACATCCACACACACACACCTCTGGTTATT